AAAAGAACGGCGTAAAAAGCAGCGAAAGAACGATGTAAAGAGCACCAAAAGAACGACGTAAAAGTCACCAAAAGAACGACGTAAAAGGTACTGAAAGATCGACGTAGAAAAAGCGACGAAAAAAGAAAATTAAAAAAAAATTATTACTATTAGTTGATCGCGTTTATAAAAATAAAAAAAAATGCAGGGGTTAAAATGCAAGGGGTGGAAATTTTTTTGTGGGATTGCTACCTAAAATTACAAAAAGTACATACCAGATACGTATATATTATTACCGTAACCTGGTACTACAGTTGTTGACGTAAGAATTGTGCAGTTAAGCGTGATCATGGATTAAGACCAATTCCGGTTTAGAGATGAAAACATTTATCGTTTATGTTCATTGAATTTTTCTAATATATGCCCTCGTCACGGCTTTCTTGCTAACCTTTTCCTTAGTTCCATTTGAAACCTAACAAATATTTCGTGGAAATCGGGCGACCAAAAAAACAGCCTCATTTCTTCACCTTCCATCATGGGCAGCGTGAGTTCGTCTTTGGACGATCATCCGACCTTATACATAAAAAATCCTAGTCGATGTAATTAATTTTATTTACAGCTTTTTTCATGGAATGTGCAAGCATTATATTCATATTTAATTATATTTATTTGTAATTTTTCAGTTCAAATTACGGAAATTTCAATATCAAATTCCGTCCATGACCCGTATATAACATTCCCTGTCACTTCGGCTGGCATTGCCGCTATTCCAAACACTATAGATCTACTAGAATTTACTCAAGACCCTAACGTCAAATCAATATCACCAAATAAGTTTTTACTTAAATTGGCTAAAGACAAATGCTTAGAACTAAAGTTCAAATTCAGCATAGGAGAAACAGACGGAAATAAAGCTTATATCAAAGGACTTACATTTATCAATGTTGCTAGTGAAAAAGAGTTGGAAAGAATAGTAACAGTTGAATTCAACGATGACCCCAACGTAAGTAGTTAAAAAAAATTTTTTTGATGTTGTATGGTACGTACCTTTTAGTTTAATAAGAAATAGTCTACTGGACGTTTGGATTATATTATTAACGAATTAATGAAAATGTGCCAGCCTTACGAAAAATTCCACTTAAGGGTTGGTTTTATAATGATAAGTCAAAGTATAGTTTTACCACTTAGATTTTTTTTTTTTTTTTTTTTTAAAAAAAAAAAACCCGAATTTTTATCACAGTTATTATTATTGTTTTATAAAGATATCATATCAAAGTTATTCAATATCAATTGTATTAATCTTATACATTTCGATTTACGTACACTTATATATGTAGTTACATAAACATCCAAAGGTATCATTGGTTGGAAATTATGAATCGGACGGAATAAAACCTTTAGAAATGGAATGGAACTGGATGTGGTCAGCTCCACATAACATGGACGAAGTTCATCGAGGGTGGCGAAACTATTGCTGTGTGAGTTTTGAAAATTTGTCTATTTATATTATGATTTTATATTTCATTACTCACTCTTGTTTAGTTTGCCGAATACGATGCAAAAGATAATACTTTCCAATTATTGGCAGCCTTCACATTTTGGGTTGCCGGTGCGCTAAATATTTTATTTTATTATTATTCTTCATTTGTTTATTTCTTTTGCTTTAAAATTATTTGACAGTCATTATGTTAATAAATCTTCAGATAGCACACGAGGTTACTATCATCGAGCGTCGAAAAGCACGGGATCCCTTGATGGAACGTCATTCCTTACAGGAACATCATCGTTACTTCAGTCTTCTACATCTGCACCATGGTCCCTTCCACGCAGTGTTCGTCCGTCGAGTCCAGATACAGTATATCTTCCAGTACCCGGCATGTCTTCACACACATCTGGGACCGCCTCCTCAATTTCAAGTGGAGGCAGACGCTCTTCTGATGATTTAATGTTTCAACATGAACCCGAAGATGGCCCATTGTTTCGTGCCACTCTTTCGTCATATGAGAAGAAGACAGGTTCATTGAGACAGTATATAAAACGTATACTTAAGGCTGCGTCTACGTCTCATGAAGTCATGTTGGACAGTAATGAAGCAGATGAAGAGCTTATGGTGGCCTTAAGGGCAGCAGCAACAGCTCATCCTCAAGCATTTCAACCAGTTTTGGATAGCTATTTGGAAGATGCTGCTAAAAAAATTGCGAACCTTAGAGAAAATCTTGCGAATCAAATGTCTATTCTCCTTATTGAGCCCCTGCGAAAAATGTATGAAAATGACATTAAAGTAGCTGATAGCAAAAAGAAGGAATTCGAGGATGAATCTCGTGATTATTATCAATTTTTATCCAAGTATTTATCCATGAAAGTTGATTCTGCTAAAGAAAAGAAGAAACTTGAAACTGATTCAAAATATCAAAACAAACGAAAAACTTTTGAATTAAAGCGATTCGATTATTATGCGTATATGCAAGACTTACATGGGGGGAGGAAAGACCAGGAAATTTTATATCATTTGACGAATTTTGCTGAAAAGCAGTTTGCATTTTATCAACAAACCGCAATGAGTATACAAAATTTGAAGCCAGGTTTGGATAAATTAGCAGTTGATGTTGCGGAGGCAACAAAGGAGATTCATCTAATGAGAAAAGAAAGAGAAGAAAGGCGCAGAGCATTGGAGACTCGAGCAATAACTGCAAGTCCATTCACGGGCGAGACTCTCAATGAAGGAGAGAATTCAAATAATTGCAATGGAAGTGTATCTACGGATAATACGACAGACAATGCAGAAAATCAAACTTTGATTCATGCTGGATCACTAAATACGACACAAAATAAATTTAAAGGAATTCGTGATTTGGAACAACAGGGCAATGAATCTGCATTAACTGCTGGCAGGAGGAAAGAAGGATTTCTATTTGCTACATCACGAGCAACGCAACATGGAACTGTTGACCCGATTGCAAAAAATAATTGGCATAAGTAAGTATTTGTTAAATTTTCTCAAAAGTTATTGCTTATATTTGCCATACAGTAATCGTAAAAATTTTTTTAAGATATTGGTGTGTATTGGCGGGAGGTCAACTTTGTGAATACAGTAATTGGAAAAAACAACTTGAAACACACAATGAGCCAATAAACTTGCGATTCGCTACAGTAAGAGAAGCAAGAGGTGCTGATCGTCGTTTTTGTTTTGAGGTCATAACACCTCAATATCGACGTATATATCAAGCAATTTCCGCTGAAGATATGAGTTCGTGGATGGCAGTAATTTCCAATGCCATTGAGAGCCTTCTTAACGGAACAAGCAGCTGTCGTAACTTGGATCAGGTATTAACTCAAGACGTAGATAGTACTGGTGCTGGAACGTTATTCTCCAAAAAAGCCCTTCAAAGAAGAGGAACATTACCAAGCTT